TGTTATCCTTTCATTCGGACGACTCGTCCACACAAAAGGGTGCAAGGATGCTTGCAACAGAGCACTGTGTATGTCGGAAATAGGCGCTGACACAGCGATGGAAACGATCGCGTAATTAGGACTGTGTCGGATGTGCGCCAACGGGCGCGAAGAGATAGGTTTGATGGCGTATTTATGAGCCCATAGCAGACCAGAAGAGACTCAGTAAAAGGGCCATCGACCCAGTTGCCATTGATTCACATCCCTCGTTGAAATGCTCAGTTGCCCTGGGTAAACTTAACCCTTTCTCTTCGGGAACTGAGCTCGGCACTGAGAGGCCTTATGTCCAGGGGATAGAATATGCTTGCATAACCCTTTTTAAGAATGGATTGAAATCCATTCCCCTTTCCCTTGTACCCTTCGTATAACACTATCATCGGGACCAGTTTGCCCTCGTGATAACATTGTGAACCATCAGTGGAACAAGCGCTTGCTGGCCACACGTACCTACGGTAAGAGGGCTACCACTGGTGGACAGCCAAAATAAACTGCCCTCTCCGCGCTACTCCGGTTAGGGGGCACGAGCTGTCAGCGCTTTCAGCCAAAGAGATAGCGGGGGGGGTCACCTCGGCCCGGGAGGTGAGCCACGGTTTATTATGCAGGAAAAGAGACCGCAAAGAGTTTCTGTGACACATAGCAGGTGCCGGTATCCTTTAAAAGGCTAAAATTACAAAACGCCAATGTGTGGCGTTCAAACAATACGCAGTTTGCACGATAGAATTTCTATCATAGAAATCACATTAAATTTGTGTGGCTAGCGGTCTTAACCCGTACTGTAGTAGTGGAACAACTGCTGCGTATCTATAGCAACTTGCTATGTGTAAGATTCTTCGCAGTTTGCCGTTATTTGTCTATAGGGCAGAAGAACCGTATTGGCCTCTCTCTTTTACGGGTGCACTAGTTTAATTCCTACTTAGCGCAGGGCGCTGCGAAAGTAGCGCTCTCTCTCGAGGTAAACCAGCATTCTTTCAGGCCATTTCTTGATGATCTCTTGAACAGCCCTTGTCTATCACGCATATTCGGCAAACATAACCTTCTGGAAGAGTTTCGTAGAGGACATCGCAGAACACAGTGCTCTACATCATTTAGCACTCCTGGTCTACATTGGCTCACCAGTCGCCTTTTCAATAGGAAAGAACCAAAAGGTTGTAAACAAGGAGTGTAACCAACTGCCAGTTGCGCCAATGCTACCTCTGCTTCTCTTTGGGAAATGGTCTTCTGCGGCATTTGTGGGACACTCTTTAAAATCGATTCACGTCTTCTCTTGCTTGAACGTATTAGCCTACCGACTTCCACGATCAAACCATAGTATAATAAGCTCTAATAAGCTAGTCTCTGCCCCGAAAGCCAAGCGATGACGTTCCAAATCTCTGGAAAGCAATGAAGTTATTCAATACTCGTTGTTAGTCTGCCAACGGTGCCGCATACCGATCCTAGAACACGCGTGCATATCAGCTGCACCAAGGTGCCCGCCCTTGCTAAACATGAGTGTACGGGAATTCCTTCTTGCGTACAGCATGAACGAGAGCCACATCAGCACGATCAATCCAGGGTCGTCCATCGTCCTGAATCGCACACTCCATAAGAATCTCAGCCTCATCCCTGACAATTAGTTCTGTTAGACTTGCTAATTCGTAAAGAGCCTCCCTGTCGATGCTCAAAGCTTTCGTTGATGTGAAGTGCCGGAAGTTTGTGTAGTTTGCTGCACTCGCATAAGTTAGCGGTCTGTGGACGGAGGTTCGTTGTCCTATATTGATTCCCAAAGCGTGAAGAACAATCCAGTGAAAACGATTGTAACAAAGCGATGAACTCGAGTGGCGCAAGTAATCATCGTCACCAATGTCCGTGTCAACCTCTTCTTCACTCTCTGAATCGGTCTTGCTTCTTGACACTGCTGCTGCGTGCAGATCCTTTGGTTGAACACTTTTGTTAGCGTACTGCGCTCGCAACTTCTTTGCTTCGTTAGTATCGTTAAAGAACTCAGTGTACTTTTTCTTCATAGTGTTCCATCTTCGCTTGGCAAGATCGGAGTGATAAGCTGCAGTGCTACCTTGAATATCCTGCCCTGGACATGATCCTGTGTTCTCTGCTGCACCCTTCTCATGTAGCGCAGCGAATTTAGCAGACCTTTGCTGTTGCGAATCGCCCTCCCCTGTAACTTGTGTTTGTACGTTCCCGGTGACGCCTCCTTGGGGCGTTGTTTCATTGTCATTGTTATTGTCAGAAGACGGCGTCGGCCGCGCACCCACGATTTTTTCGCTATTGACAGTACAGTTCGCCTGAATGGCTGTTGAAGGATCTTCCTTTCCTCTCGAGGTCAAACCATTGGCAACATTCGTGCTCGGATCGGACACTCCCCTATCTTGATTTCCACCCGTCACTGCTCCTTCGACTCTAGAGCCCTGGGCCCCAATATATGGAACTTCGGAAAGTTCCAATCTTCTACGCAATGCAGGGAGCCTTCGTCTTGGCCAGAAAGCCCCAGCCCCTGGCGTGTATACGTCGTTATGGCGCAGATACGTCATACCCATAACAATGGCTCGTTTCTCACAGATAGCAGAATGTGGGATTGAAACCACTGCCACAGGAAAACGAGAACAAAGTTTGAAGGTCTCAGCTGACGTGTACGGGCGTATTTTGCGTCGTGGCCATTGTGATTCTGTTCTTAGGAAATCGATGAATTTGTTGCTGTCATGCTTCACGTCGTCGGACAGAATATGCATTGCTACAGCCCCTTCGCATGCAGTGTTTCTTAGCTTGGATCTTGCAGCTTTGTGTATATCACCGATTTCTATCACTAGGTCTTCATCTTCGTTATCATCGTTGTCGGGTTTAAGGTGTTCATTTCGGCCTTCACTGTCTTGTACGCGGATGCCATTTGCTCCCTCTGCAACGTTTTCGTTTTTTTCGGCTGCCTGACAGTCTTGCTCTGTTTCAGCAATTCGAACGGCTGTTCGGAGAACGTCAAGTGCAAAATTCGCAGCGATATCAGACAAATGCAGCAGTGCAACAGGGGCAAGGCATACTACTGGGCGTTCATACATGAAATGGTCTTCAATTCTTCTCTTAGGATTCTTCAGGATGACCACATACTCTAACCAGTCCAATAACGAATTGGTCCGTATCAAGGCACACCGAGCTAGATTCTGCTCGGAAAAGTTGTCCACGGCATGTTTCCAAAGCTGTAGTGGCTCCTTGATGGTCGACCGCTTTCCAATAGTGGCGGCTAAGATGGGTTCATTGATCCACTTCAAATCACCATCATCATGATTCACATCTGAACGTTGCGCGTCCAGGAAAGGTATGCCAAGTTGCTGGCAGTGCTTCGCAAAATCATTCACATTGTAGAACGTTTCACCCGAGATACTGTGCATGTACGATCGAAGAACGTAGGAGGCATACTCCGCGAACTCCTCGACAACAGAATCTGCATATTGAAGTAGTTGGGAAACAAATTTGGGGGTTTCGTTTTCTTCTTGATCAGATTCTCTGTCGATGGGATCGTCGGAAAGAAGAATAAGTTCATCCTGGTATGAGTCTCCGCACTGGCCAGAAACCGCCAGTCTTTCGTGATCTGACCCCTTCGCTGACTCATCGCGCTTTTGCAACCTGTCAAGTCGCTTAATAATGGGGTCATTGTCGGGGTACAATGCGTCATGATACACATCAATGTGAACATGCGTTTTGAAAAACCTGCTTCTCGGATCAATCTTTCGTCGAATATCTGGTACATTGTAAAAGCCCAACATAGCATTGAGCAAGAATTCACAATACTGCGGTGGTCGAGAACTCGTACCTAACAAAACGGAAAGGCGATTTGGATGAACCATGTGTCGTAGACGAATACACGCCTTGAGAAAATCATCACGTTCCACTTGATGAGATCGTGGTACGAATCGGTGATCGATGAGAAGGTCGGCCATTAGATTCTCTCTAAGGCGTGTCCAGAGTGTGCCCAGCTTCAGATTTTCCGACAGATCTAGTAAATTAAGGTGTTCGTCGCCTTCATGAGGATAGTCTTCCGATGCAGAAGGCTTCTTGAAGGCAACTGTTTTGTGTAGGTCAGAAACTGGCCAGAAGAGGGGCTTGTAGGGCACAGATTGCTTCCACGGAGGAGCAACCGCTTGGCGTAAGACACTTTTTTCACGAATAGAGGCAGTAGGTTGGATCGGAGCATCAGAAGCTGTTTGTTGGGTTGGTAGTGGGTGCTGTTCTTGTTGCTGCTGCGTTTCTTTCACTTGAGAGGCATGATCAAGTGATGGAACAGAAGGATGCTTCAAATGGTCGCCGTGACGTCCGTCCTTCACATCATCTCCACTATCATCTCCTTCATATGTGTCAAGAATGTGTTGGATATGTTCATGTGCTGAACACACTGGCAGATATGCTTCCGCGTCGTCGGTTGCAGATTCGAAAGCGGTGGAAATGGATAGCAATCCAAGCTCATTAACCAGCTCCTTTTTGGCGCCTGGCCTATTTAAAAAATCTACTTCATCTTGGTCCTCCTCTTCTCCGAAGCGAGGGCCTTCCGGTGACGAGTGACGATGGCGCTTCGAAGGAGGAGAGGGACTGCGTTTGGTGGTATGCTTTCTTTTGTTGGGGATGGCAGCGATATCCATGTTCTGATGTAGGGCGAGTAGGTGGTAGCGGTATTTCTGCTAGAATCAGCTCTTTGTGCACTTCTACACATACCGTCGAAGAATACCTGCCGGATCAAGACGATGCCATTCTCTTATGATATTATCGTGCGTATCTATCCCGGTAAATGAGTAAGATTTGGGGATATGCGGTGTCTGTGATAGGAATAGATCCGCGTGTATTTTTTATTTTTGAAACCTTTTTTTCTTACTTCGTGACAAAGCGAACAGAAATGCGTTAATTAACACCTTTTGAATCTAATTTCAAACTGACATTTATAGTTGTTTAAATTCTGGGGAATACAGACCGTGGTTCGTAGGTGAGGGTTCGTAGCTCAGTGGTTTGTAAGCGCTTCAGAGCAATCGACTGCAGATCGATAGGTCGCGTGTTCGACTCACGCCGGGCCCTACGAGAGTGTTGGTTTTTTGTTCTTCTGACCTTGGCATGGCCTGCAAAGGCCGAGAGCATTCTCACTTTGACTTTTGGCTTTAGTATTGTTGACGATTTTCTTTGGAACTTTATTTTCGCAACTACATATGCCGGGTGAAGTTAATAATACCCTGTCCCCACAATCTCTCACAGAATTGTAATACAACTCAATACCGCAGAGATTGCAGTTTAGCCTTCACCATTGGGAACTTTGTATTCTTTTTCAGCTCTAGCAACTGTCACAACAGCTGTAAACCCATTCTATGAGTACAAACCATGAGCTGTTCCTTAGGGAGGAAGCCAAAGAAGGAATCACTGGTTACGAGAACTCAAGCTTTCATCATTAAATTGTGAATGTGACGCATTGCGTAGTGAACAGAATCTGCTTTCTTAAAGCTTAGCTCATCGAACAAACCTAATACGAAATTGGAGAATCAGGCTCATACGAGAGCAACCACTTAACAACTACCAGAGCTTTGCACTACAACAAAAAATAAAGAAGAAGACAAAACTTTGCCACTTGCTGCAAGGGTTTCTTGTTCCTACTTCCGCACTCATTAATAGGGAAAGTCTTACAACATATTAAGTCATAAATAAGGTAATGTAATACACAAAGTAAATCTTTGAGCGGACCTAAACTAGGTAAGAACAAATCTCTCGTGCGCGCAGAACCAAATTTATAGGCAGAATCCTGGAGATAGGCATCTCTATTCTCCATCCAAACCCCGTTTTCATCTCGCAGTAGGTCATTAACTGTTTGCCTATGGCGCAGCAGACCGTTCACATCCTGATCACAGGTTATTGAGCGCAATGCTATTTCACGAAGTGCCCTACAGAATTGTAGAAAACAAATAGTTTTAACAAATGCTTTGTGTGTCGCTCCTAGTACGAGCGGGGTGAGGGATGCCGTATGGAGTCACTGGCCCAGTAGGAGTTCAAGTCGACTACCAGACAAAGTGACAATGATATATAGACGGTGATGAAGGTGGTCCCCTTTCATTCGTTTATTGAGACGGAATGCGACTGCTCTTACAAGCAAAAGCCAGGGCTTACTCGAAAGGGCAGTAGCGCTCTGACGCTGAGGTATGCAATTAGGTGAACGTACACCTGCGTTGCAATGTTCATCCTTGCCGATACACTTGTGTACGTGTCATCTATCGCCATTATGACATCATTGCTGAACTATCTCAACATTGTGGACTTCAATCTTCAAAACAATAAAGTGGGTGTTGATAAACCCTAAAACATCCAAGTGTTGGCTCTAAAAAGAACACCAAAAAAGACTGAGACAACTGAAGACGCCATTGCAGTGGTAGTAGACGGGTTGGCGCCTACAACCCAGAAATAAAGAAAATTAGTTGCTTTGTACCAGACCTGACCACCAGTGGGCCTTCAAATCACAGATAGAATACTTGATTATCGCAACATAGAGCACTCGCCCAGGTCGGCGCTCAACTTAAAAAAAATAATCACAAACGATCGAATCAATTCACTTAGATTCCAAATTTTTGTGGCTTTTGATATTAACCAACGAACGCCTCTCGTTAGGCACATTAAATCAAAGATATGCAAAACAGCCCTTGGCTGAAGGCACGTTAAACCAATCAACAAAACAAAAAAAGGGACTTTGAGGTTCTGTACAGTCATAACGCAAGTTGGATCCAAAATATTGTACCAGATAGAATTAAAGAATATCTAACCAAAGAAGAGTAACAGCAACAAAAAGCCAAAAACGCGAAGATCACGAGAAATATTTACTTCGAAAAAACACGTTCTGGCTAAGATATATAACAAAAAAGAAGCCAGCTCAATCGCGCTTTTAAAACATTTTAATGATACTGGGATCGATATAAATAGAAAAATAATTTTTATCTTTTAGATGTGCTGGACAAGTTCGGTCTGAAGCCATCTTCCGCCATCTTTCATAGGCGGATTTTAAGTTGCAAACGATATTCTATACATATATTTTCATGAAATTTCAGCATCACAATAGCATATGCATGGTCATGTAAGACAGAGATCTCCCCACTTTCGTTTACATTTTCTGTCAGAGTGACGGCGAGAATGTTCAGCAGCGGGGTAATCCTGTTGCCTTGCAGCACGATGGGCGTCATGGTCGTTTGTCTGACGATTTGCGCGATTATCTGGCGTCTCTAAAGCTCGTGTCGAAGCAGTGGCTGTACGGTCGGCCTCACGAACATCATCAGTGTGCGCCGCGGAAACTCTAGCCCTTCTTCTTTGCTTACGTTCCCTATTAGCTGCTTTTCGTACTTCACGCTGTTCCTCAGTTTCATTTGCTCTCCGTATGGCTGCTTGCTCTCTATCACGACTTCTCCTCTCTGCCTGTTGCTCACTTGACTCTGCTAGACGTCTTGCAGCATTAAATTGACGGTTCTGCTCACCTCTGGCATCGCCTGAAGCACTGGGATGAGTTGGAGGCATTCTAAAAAGATCTTAAGCACACGACACAAAAGACAAACTGTCCAAAACCCGGCAAAGCAAAAAAAGTCCGCCTCTTCTTCGCCAACTGCTGACTGTGACTGGGCCCCGACAGAGCCACTTTCGTGCTGAGATCCGTGCCTACAACACAGTTATGTCTATGGCTTCCGTCAAGGCAAACTGGGTGAGCCTTGGTTTAGGAAACTCTACCTTCAATCCTACGATCACCATGCAGGGACAGATCTATCACAACATGGGTCCGCTCATTCCCGCTCAAGGTGTCCAGCCCGCATTTCTGTCTGTGTACATCCATGACACCGACTATGACGCTCAGTCTGCGAGGTGAGCGAGGTTGCTGCCCCGCCTCCAACCGGAAATGCTGTCTCAGTTGGCAGCCATGCTGCACACGAGGAATCCATAAGTGCAGACATTCTGCAGCCTGCGCGAGTGGGCTATCACCAATACGCCAGCAATTACGTATCAGATGGTGATCCATGCTGATAGACGGCCCCGCGGCGAGCATGTTCGTCGCTACAACGGGCCCGAGGCGTCTCAAGTACCCGCCATCATTCCAGGGAGTGAGGACGGCGAGATTAGGACGTGCGATATTGTTGTGCGTAGGCGTGGAGAGCTGACTGTAAATGGTGATGAGGTGCTGGACACTATTCCTGTCAGTCACAGATCGTACGATCCCTTGAGCTACGTTCTTTTGTTCCCATGTGGCCAGGACGGATGGCACCCTGAGATGAGGTATTGCCCACCAAACGCCTCGCGAGAGAAAAAGGTGACTCCGCTGATGTATTATTCGTGGCAGCTTTTCGAGAGATCGACCGAGTTCAGTATGATTCTACGCGGCAAACGGCTCTTCCAGCAGTACATGGTTGACCAGTTTTGCGAGGTTGAGTCGGAGCGTTGGTCTTACTTACGACACAACCAGGAGAGACTTCGAGCTGAGGACTATACATCCCTGCGGGAGAGCCTGGGTGACTCTCTGCTGGGCGTGGATGAGGCCGATGCTGTTCGCACTGTACGGCTGTTCGTGTTGCCCTCCACATTTGTACAAGGTGACCGATATATGAGACAGCAAATGCACGACATCATCGCCATATCCAACACCATTGGGCACCCCGATATCTTTCTCACGATGACGTGCAATCAAAACTGACCTGAGATCACCAGGGCGCTGTTCGAAGGTCAGCGCGCTCCCGATCGACCCGATCTTTGTGCTCAAGTGTTTCGTCTCAATATGAAAGCCTTGATGTCGTTTGTCATTGATGAACAGTTCTTTGAAGCCGTTGTTGCTCACGTGCAGGTAATCGAGTTCCAAAAGCGAGGCCTACCGCACGCGCACATTATCTTCTTCCTCAACGAAGATGCAAAGCAGCAGCTCCGAGACCGTGCTCACATTGACGAGCTCATCTCAGCTGAGATTTCTCTTTCCTTCGACGCCACCTAACAAGATTTGGTGCTCAAGCACATGATTCACACTCCGTGTGGTGCAGGCAACCAGTCAGCGCTGTGCATGCGCGAGCTGAACTGCTTGAAGCACTTTCCGAAGCTGTTTCGCTCCGAAAATGCACGGCTGGACAATGAGTACTACATCCGCTACCAAAGACGCGCTCCTTCCGAGGGCGGGGTGTCTGTGGAACGAAGCTGCAGGGTCGGCCGTCGACAGCACGTAGTGACGTTGGACAATTCTTGGGTGGTTCCACATTGCCCAGAGCTTCTCCGCCGGTTTGCATGCCACATCAACGTTGAGCTATGCGTATCGCGACTTGGCGGTATCAAGTACCTCTTCAAGTATGTGTGCAAGGGTTCCGACAGAGTCACCATGGAGATTGTAGATGAGAACGGACGCCATGACGAGATCCAGAACTTCCAGGACGCACGGTATGTGTCCGCCTCCGAAGCAGTGTGGCGGTTGCTTGCGTTCGACATTGTCGATCGCAATCCACCCGTCGTGCGGCTTGAAGTACACTTGGAAGATCACCATACGGTGTTCTTCCAGGAAGGCGACGAGCACTCTGCTGCTAACAGAGAGTGGGCATGAACCAAGCTCACTGAGTGGTTTGTGGCCAAACAAAAATACCCCGGCGCACAGCATATCTTTTATGCCCAGTTCCCGAGGTACTTTACTTGGAACATATCAAACAAATGCTTGAAGCCGCGTGCATGTCTCCGAAGTCGTTCGGTGTCCCGAAGCCAGCCCACCTCCTCCTCAGCAGCCGCTGCAGCAGCCGATCTATACGACTTCACTGGCAGCGGTACGCATGTGGTTGGGCGCATTTACACTGCCAGTACACGATAGGGTGAGCAGTACTACCTCCGCTTACTCTTGACCCACACAGCGGGTGGTACTTCCTTTCAGCGTCTCCGCACCGATGGTCAGCAGTGTGGTAGCTTCAGGGAGGCCTACCTCAAGAAGGGCCTTCTCGCCGACGACAGCAAGTGGAGACGGGCACTGAGCGAGTCCTTTCGCTCCTCATTTGTTCCGCTCTCTCATTTGTTTGCCACCATCTTGCTTTACTGCGAGCCGTCGG